AAACTTAGAATATTAAAATGTTCCAGCTAGCTACAGGTTTTAAGTATCTTTAATTTTTGACTCAAGGTTATCATGATAGCTTTTTGAAATCTGTTTGCCTCCCAAATATATGTAAAGTTAGTCTCACAATCTCTAGAGGTGGGAACAATGAGGAAACTTTCTGGAGGAGGTGGCTTCTAAACTGAGGCCTCTAGGCAATAAGAGATAGCCAGACTAAAAGGGAAAGGAAAGGTTTCAGATCGAGGCTATTGCATATTCAAAGACCAGGAGGCTCGAGAACCTGTGATGTGTTCATGGAGGTGCTACACGTCTGAAGCAGAGTACAAGACAGTAAGAGATGAAGACAATACTGTAATTGCCAGATCAGGGAGGGCCTTCCAAACTAGGCTGGGAAGTTTGGACTTTGCTCTGAATGCAATGGGAAGCTCTCAGTAGAATTAAATAATCAGATTTATCTCTGTATAAGACTTCCAACTGCTTTTTGGAAAATGAACTTGTAAGATCTAGGCCTGGGCTATCACTTAGGAAACTACCATGTTGGGCCAAGGGTACAGCTCAGCAGCACAGCACCTGCCTGGCAAGTGCGAGGTTGTGAGTTCAATTCCCAATACAAAAAACAAAACAAAACAAAAAACTCCAGTGAGTCCTAAATGAACCATTGCCAATTAAGATACAGAAAAGTTGGTTGAGTCAATACAGAAGAAAAACCAGGCGGAACTGGTGCTATCTCAGAAAACATAAGGGAAAGAAGTAGGCATTACAGACAGAGTTCAGATTTCTAACTTGAGTTGCCAGAGCTGGGCAGCTGGACTAAAAGAGTAGGGGAAGAGACAGGAAGTGATGAGTTCCATTTTACACTTGTTATGTTTGCCTCTGCGGGGCGTCCAGGAGGAAATATTCTGGAAGATGATGGATCGACTGATCAGGGGCCCCAGAGGAAAATCTAAGACAGAGAAACATTTCTGAATCATCAGCAGAGGTAGTGTTTTGAGCAGAAATGTGACAGTAGTGATTACAACTTTGAGTCCTGAACTTAGAGTCTTGACTTGAGAAGGGGGCACAGCCAGGGCAGAATCCTAGCTTCTTATTCGCCTCAAGCATCATTTCTTTTCATAGTAGATGAGAAATAATATCACTTATCCACAGTGTTAGTGTACAGATTTAACACTATATAAAGCTGACACTTTGCTCAGTCTGTGAACAACTCCTGAATAGATGGTGCTCAATTAAAAAAAAAAAACTATTGTACAAATGAAGAGTAAGTTAATGCTCTTCATTTTCCTTTGCTTAAATAATCCCTGCAATTCTCTTCTCCTGTGGCTTTGATAGTATATGATACTCCACCTACTCTATTACTTCCTTATGGGTTTTTTCTTTCAGCTTTCTCCTATTAAATGTCTGTTACTAAGGCTCAGTTTACCATCCTTGTGCAGAATGAATTACAAGTCTAAAACTCCTATTTCAAACCCACATTTAGCTTATATTTACAATGTCTCTCCACTCTAATGTGGGTTTTTTTTTGTTTTGTTTTTGAGACAGGGTCTCACTGTGTAGTTCAGGGTGGCCTGAACTCACCATGTAGCCCAGGCTGTTCTTGAACTCTTGGTGATCCTCCTGCCTCAGCATCCTGAGTGCTGGGATTGCAGGCATGTGCCACCAGGCCTGGCTCTAACGTGTTGACAGTATAAATCAAACAGAAATGACACATCATTTTTGCTTCTAGGCTTATTCTTTTTATAAGTCATTTCTATCTAAGTAATCAGTTTTATTTAACAAATGTTTATCATGAGCTACTGCCTACACTGAATGTTTGTATCCTCCACCCAAATTCATATGAAACCTAATCTCAGATGTGGTAGTATTAGGAGGTGGGGCCTTTAGGAAGGCCAGTCTATATGAATGGGATTAGTGCCCTTATAAAAACACAGAATTTCTCTGCTTCCTCTACAAAGTGAGAACACTGAAAAGATAATGATCCAAGAGGCAGGCCCTCAGCAGACATCCAGTCTGCTGGCACTTTGAGCTTGGATTTCTCAGCCTGGAGAATTGTGAAAGAAAAAGAAACTTTCCATTGTTTATCAACCACCCAGTCTATGGTGTTTTTATTATAGCAGCTTGAACAAACTAAGACATTTAAAATGTCTGGGCTCTATTGTAGGCCCTGAGATACTGACCAAGACAAATCTCTGCACTCATAAGGCTCATATGCTAGAGATTTTTAAGACAAACGCAGTTGTTAGTGACACCTAAAATGTGACCCGTACATCACCAACATCAGTGTCACTCAGGAAAAACACATTCTCAAGCACCATTACAGAGCCACTGAGTCAGGCTTTGGTGGTGCTGTCCAGCAATGTGTGTTTAACAAGCCCTCGGAGATGCTTATGGATGCTGAAATTTGAGAAACACTGCTAATTATCTTTGACTCCTCTTTCTCTATCTATCCCTTCCACTATGCCCACTAGCAACTTGGAAAACTCCTGTGGTTCTCTCCAACCTCATCTTAATCCAGAACCTTTTTGGATTGCTGGATTGCTGTGAAATCTCTCATTTTCTGCCTTTTCTGGATGCTGGTGACACTGCCAGATAAAGCAACTTATAAAAACAATGCTTTTGCTGATATCAATGGTCATAAATCTAGCAGTGAATTTTCTATCACCTATTAAAGGAAGTATGAACTTCCTTTTGGTTTACAGGTCTGTGTTTTCTTATCTAGAGCTTGTAACAAAAGATCACAAACTGGGTGGCTTACTTTCTCACAGTTCTGGAGGTTAAAAGTCTGAAATCAAGGTATTGGCAAGGTTGCTTCCTTCTGCAGGATCTTGGGGATAATTCGTTTCACACCTGTCTGCTAGTTTCTGGTGCCAGCTTGCAGTCCTTGATGTTCCTTGCCTTGTGCACGCATCATTCCAATTTCTGCTTCCGTCTTCCCAGTGCTTCCCCTCTGTGTCTGTCTTTTCACACGGACATTTCGTATAATATAATTCTCTGTAATATCCACCATGAGGCAACTCTATGCTCTATGATTCCCCTGGCCCTCCTATAACTAGGCTTCTCCTTTTTTTTTAATTTTTGTGTTTGTTTTTCTTCCAGTACCAGGAATCAAACTCATGACCTTGCACTTGCCAGGCAGGCGCTGTGCCACTGAGCTAAATCCCCAGCCCCCTAACTAGGCTTCTTCACTGTTCTGTATTTTTACTCCTGACTCCTTGCAGTGCTCTTCCTTCTGCACCTCACCTACACAAAATCTTATATAGTTGTCAGAGGTCAGGCAGTTCCTGAGAAGCAGTGGCATGAACCAGATGATTAGTGACAACTGCCATTTTGCTTCAGGGTCAAGGAGACAATGGAGGTTTGTGGAGCCTGGGAACCTGGGAATTTTATTCTGAGTGGAGAGGGAGCTGCTTCTCAATTCCCCCCGACCACAAGTATGGAGACCCTGGTTGGCCACATCTTCTGATTTTTAAAGAGAGGCTGGAAGTCTAGATTTTTGGGTGAGAGAAATTTTCTGATTTGAAAAGGTTGGCCATTAATTCAAATAAAATCACACAGCATGAGCCAGCAGCCTGAGCCATAGTATGTGTCTATGGTCATATCTGGCCTAAGGGACATCATTTTTATTTGCACAAAGTCCTACTATTTTGAGCCAAACTCTGTTAGATCCTTCTAACCATATCAATCCATTTTAATTCACATTCATATTCATATATTGAGTGATGCTAAACACACATAAGAGTTTCTTCCAGAGTAAGATACACACCCACCCCTCCCAAAGTAATGAGTGCATAGGAATTAGATCAAATATAAACACATATGGAAAGCTTAACTAGGATAGAAGAGGCAAAGAGGTAGCAATCTGGGAAGGCTTAAGCTGCTCCTAAAAGTATATGTTTAACTTTACAATGAAGCATCGAGCCTCCCTAAATCCCTCCCACTTCTTAAGTCCACAGTATGAATATTTTAGATTCAGTAGAATACGTCTGAATCCTTTAGTTCGTTCCAGTGATTTAGTCTAGCCTCCCCAGCAGGGCTTCCAGACACTCCTGAACACAGAAACTAGATCCTGGTTATATGTACAAACACTGCTGGTACACTGGGAAAGGAATGGGGTCCATTTATACCCGTGTGAGCCAGGTATATCCCTATCACGGGAGTAGGGTGATGCGGCATTGTGAGGGCCGTGGGCAGGGCTCACCCGAGGGCCCAGGACACACAGAAAGCTCGGTCCTGCACACCTGTGTCTATTAGCGAAGGCGAACCTTTCAGTGTTTTCAGTAGCGTGCTGCGGCACTAGTGCCATAGGTTCGCCACCACTGGCAGAGGCCCGGCCTCTCCTCCATTGTAAGGAAACAAGGTCTGGTACCTGCCTCGGAGGAACTGCTCCTTACTCCGTTCCCCGCAGAGGGAGCACGCAGGAGCCCGAGCCCCCAGTTCTGCGAATGCAGCGGTGCCTCACCTACCTCCAGGACACTCCAGACTCCCGCCAGGACAGAGCCCAGCCGGCTCCCTGCAGGCGCAGGGCTACCTCGGGCAGCCCCTCTTCCCCCAGTGTTTTGGACGCAGGGTCCCCATGCCCCGCCCACTTCTCCCGCCCCGCCAGCCAATCCGCGTGCCGCCTCGGGGCACCGCCCAGCCGAGCCCAGTTCAGGCTGAGCAGCGGGTGAGGCTCGCTCCGGGGGTCCTGCGCCGCACAGTTTGCGCACTTTCCAGCGCCCAAGCCATGCGTGAGACTTCCTGAAAGAGGTAGCTTTAAGCTGAGACCTGAAGACTACCGAGACACTGAGTCCTCCAGAGGTCCTGGACTGGCCTAGAGACGGGCTTCAGCCCTTACAGGGTCTTGGGTGGGCGGACCCTTTAATTTTATTTTTCTTCTGTTAAATTTTTTTCTCCCTTACATGCTTTTTTCTACCTTTTAAATGGTTTAAAAATTTTCCTTTCTCTCATTCATTACTTCCTGTTTGCTTTGACCAGTCAAAGACTTGATAAGTAAGAACATAATGTTTAAAAAATGTAATTCCAGCTACTTGGGAGACCGAGACAGGAGCGTCGCAAGTTCGAGCCAGCCTGGGAAATTTAGACAGACCCAGTCTCCAAAAAGGGGAGGAAAAAAGGGGGAGGGGCTCCTTGGGGCAGTCCTTTAATCCCAGTTATCAGAGTGAGATGAAGACCATCTATTCTGATTTTCTGTAGGGTTTTTAACGTGAATGAGTTTGGACTTTATCAAAAGCTTTTTCTGCATCTACTGAGATGATCATGTCATTTTTGTCTTTGGCTCTGTTGATATGGTATATTACATTACTTGATTTGCATAGATTGAACTATCTCCTGCATTCCTGGGATGAATCCCACTTGGTCATCATGTATAATCTTCTTGATGATTTGCTGCATTCTGTTTGCTAGTATTTTATTGAGAATTTTTGCATCTAGATTCATTAGGGAGATTGGCCTGTAGTTCTCTTTTTTGGTTGGGTCTTTCTCTGGTTTTGGTATCAGGGTAATACTTGCCTCCAGGAATGAATTAGGGAGAATTCTTTCCCCTTTGATTTCATTAAAGAGTTTGAGAAGAATTGGCATTACATCTTCTCTAAATTTCTTGTAGAATTCAGCTGTGAATCCATCAGGATCTGGACTTCTCTTTGCTGGTTTTTTTTTTTTTAATTACACTTTCAATTTCATTGGCTGATATTTATTCAGGATTTTTATATCTTCTTGATTCAGCTTTGGTAATTCGTTTGTATCTAGAAATCTGTCCATTTCCTCTGTGTTTTCCATCCTATTGTTATAGGCGGCTGAGTTAGATAGAAATATTATAGGCAGTCAGACAGGGCCAGGCCCTCAAAGGAGCCAGCATGGAAGACAAGATACCTTACAAATGGAGAGGTGGTACTTGCTTTGGGCCAGATCTCACCACTAAAGATTAAACAAGCACAGCCACTTACCTCCCTATGGATGGACCTCAGGGATTGATAGTCTAAATAGGTAGCGATCACCTTGAAGAGTCACTGACCCAGCCCCTTACAGGAAAAGCCCCTGTTCTGTATTCATGCCCGCTTGCTACGTGACTGCTTCCCCATTTGATCCCAATTTAATCAATTTTACCTGAACAATTCTTATTGGCTGACCATAGTTTTGTCCATTTCCCCCACCTTGGACCTGCCTCACCTCGTGGTTTTGCTCTATAAAAGTTCCTAGAAAAGACAGAGTCTTGGGCAACCCACTTGGGCCTGCTTCTGTCCCTGTCTTGCGCAGAAACTTTCTTTCCCTCAACAATATTCCTATAAACTTCTGTTGTTCCTAAAATTCATCCTTTGGTTTTAGAGAACACGAACTCGTCCCAGATATTGTTCAGGTTGGGAGTTTTCATTTTCCTGTATCACTATGAAAGTAAAGATTTTCAAAGTAGATATTGATGATCTTCTGAATTTCTACTGGATCTGTAATGATTTCATACTTTTCATTCTTTATTGCATGAATTTGAGTTTTTTCTTTCCTTTTTATGATAAGGTTGGCTAGGAGTTGATCAATTTTATTCATTCTTCCAAAGAACCAACTCTTTGATTGATTAATTCTTTGTATTGTTTTCTTAGTCTCCATTGCATTAATTTCTGTTCTGATCTTTATAATTTCCTGCCTTCTCTGGGCTTAACTTGCTCTTCTCTTTCTAGAAGCTTGAGGTACAGCATAAGAGTGTTTATTTGTGCTTATTCTGTTTTCTTGATGTGGGAATTCACTGCTATAAATTTCTTTCTGAGGACTGCTTTCATTGCATCCCATAGGTTCCTGTAAGTTGCATCTGCATTTTTGCTTGGTTTTAAATATTGTTTAATTTCTTCTTTAATTTCATCTGTTGTTCAGGAGGGTGTTATTTAATTTCCATGTGTTTATGGAGCTTTTGTGATTTCTTTTGTCATTAATTTCCAATTTCATTGCACTATGGTCCAATAGTATGCATGGGATAATTTCTATTCCTTTGCATTTACTTAAGCATGTTCTATGGGCTAGTATATGGTCTGTTTTAGAGAACATCCTGTGTGTAGCTGAGAAGAATGTGTATTCTGATGTTGTTGGGTGGAATATTCTGTAAAGGTCTACAAAGTCCATTTGTTCACAAGTTTGGTTTAGTTCTGTTATTTGCTGATTTTTTTGTCTAGTTGATCTATCTCTTTGTGACAAGGGGTGTTAAAGTCCCTTGTTATGATTATGTTACTGCTTATTTGATTTTTCATGTATATTAATATTTGTCTTATATAGTTAGGTGCTTCTGTATTTGATGCATCGATATTTATGATTATTATCTCTTCCTCTTGCAGTTTTCCCCTAACAAGTATATAGTGACCTTCTTTATCTCTTTTGATCATTCTTGGTTTGAAGTTCACATTGTATGCAAACAGAATAGC